GCATCGATGAGTCGCGGCCCAGCCACTGACTGCAGCGGGTGCATGTCGTGTGTGCTCACGTCTCGGGACTGCCCAGCCGTCGGTCAGCCGCCTGCAGAGACGCAAGCAGACTCATCAAGTGAGTGCGAGATAGTGCGTATGCGTGGCGATGCCTGCGCACCTCTTCTTTCTCGGGCTGTCGATATCGGGCATGTGCGACGTGGAGGAGCAGAAGAGTCAGCAGCACCGGCGCGAGCACCTTCATCGCGTTGCGTTCGGTAAGCAGGCTCGTCAGGCAGGGCCTTTTGCAATGCACAGGGCAGCGGGCCGCGCGGATCGCTCTGGGGCTCGCTATTTGGTAGCTGCAGATCTCCCGCTGAGGAGGAGGTCACGTTTGTTGGCTGGTTTCTTCCCAGGTGACGCACTCTGGGCATTTGCTGACCTGACAACCGGCGACGAGTTGGTCCGCCTCCGCCGCTTGTCGTGAGATGCGATGAATATGGCGCTCTTTGACTTCATAGTGGAGTTGATCGGAGGGTGGAGCATTCCCATCTTCTCGGCACTTCTTCTCGTCGGCATCGTCACCGCATGCATCCTCCTCGATAAGTAGCTGCAGCGGCAGGACCGACAGCAAGATCAGCAGCATCAGCGGACGACCCACCGCATCTCATCCCCAGCAGACCGACAGAGGCGGGCCGATCTCCTTGAGCGGGCCGCACAGAAGAGAAGTACATCTTCAGCCGCCACGCATGTCACGTCTGAGGATGACACACGCCGCCGCCCGCACGTCAGCGCCACAGCAGCATCTGTGCCCTCAGCAAACACGTCTGCACTGCGGCACCGGTGCACCGAAACCGACACACGTGGGGCGGCTGCGAGCGCACCCAAGACCACACCAAGCACAGCTGCAGCAGCGGCTTCTACTCCGAGCAGCGAGGTGCCTCGAGAGCAGCGTGAGGACAGCTATGTGGAGACCGTGGTGTTCAGGCCGCTGATGCTCAAATATGACGGCGGTGGGCTGCGGCAGTTCGATGAGCAGCTGGTGGATTATCTCCATGCGAAACACCTGGCGAGAACGGTAGGGAGGGAAGGAGTGAGGGAGATGTTCGGCAAAGGTATGTATCGTATTGTTGCGTGCAGAATATGCCGGAGCAGTTTCGTGCCTACGTGAAGGCCTACACGACCATACACGATGCAGCCGAACGGTAAGTAACGGGCACACACGCGCGCGCTCAGACACACACCCAAACACACAGCAGATCTGCTTCTCCGTCGATGTCGTCAGGCATCGGAGGTTGGTGTGGCTGAGGCCCAAGATCGACGCTTTTGAGGACCTCATGATCACTCGCGCCGTGCAGACCCTCGCTGCCTGCAGAGACCCTCCTCTCGTCATGATCCTCGCGCTGCGTGACAACGCCATCACCCCCACCACATACGAGCGGCTGATGGCTGCACTTGCCGCCTCCAACACACCCATCCGTCCGCAGGGAGGTGCTGCCAGCGGTCAGGCTCCTTTGGAGCATAGCGCCATGCTCCTTCACATCCTCAACAAGTTCTCTTGGGAAGTGGTCAACTACATCGTGAGTGAGAGGTGGAAGGGATGCGCAGAGAGGGGGGTGAGAGGTGAGAGCTGTGGTGTGTACTATGTGCGCCATCAGAGCCACTCGCATCTGGGGCGGATGGCGAGAACGGAAGACTGGATCGTGCCGAGTGAGTGCCCGTCGCATCGGCTGCTCAAGGACGCCTACCGCAAAGGCGGCGCTTCGTCAGCACTCGCAGATGTCGACTGCTTCATGCCACCGGACAACTGCCCATACAGCGTCGGAGATCCCCTCTCGCGAGTCACGCCATTCCAGTCACACACCATCCTCGGTAGCTCTTAAGCACACACACACACACACACACGGGGTGCCCACCTCTGTCTGTGTGGATGCTGTCAGGGGCTTTGTTGTCTGCGAGCGTCCTCAACAGCGCCCCCGGAGCGATCCGGGTCTTCACGGCGGCGGCCGAGAACCTCGGCGGCCCCACGGTGCAGCAGGTGCACCTCGATGAGTGTCGGCGCGCTGTGGAGAGGGTGCACGAGCAGGAGATAGTCATCCGTCGGTTCGCTCCAGGGCTCGGTCGGTTCCGCTCGTTAGATCATATCAATGAGTGAGTGGGGAAAGACATACACATACACATACACACACACACACATCTTTGTCTTTTGGTCTCATTAGGTGTGTGGAGAGCACATTTCGGCAGGTGGAGTCGGTCCTGGTGTGCTTCATCCGCCCTTTGTGGCGCTCGCGTCGCACACAGACGGCAGAGGCATCCCCAGAGCAGTCGAGCGGCTCCGCATCGCCAAAACAGGCCCTCCTGGCCTGGGCTGAAGTAGGACGCATTCACACACGGCAGAGTGGGTGCGTTTGACGCATGGACCATGTTTTGGTATGGTGTGTTTCGTCTGTCAGGGCATTGTGAACGCGACTCCGGTCGGCGCGACGTCAGGGTGTCTCATCAATGTAATGTGCTGCCTGGGCGGTCTGCTGGAGGACGAGATCAGCAGGGCCGGCGGCATCGACTCGGTCGTCGAACGCATCGACCCCCTCTACTGCGCCCGAACGAACGGCAGACTCGGGTACACACGACTGTGGACAGAGACAGGCAAGGAGCAGTGGACACAGTGTAGTGTGTCGCTGGTGCCTTGCAGGGCTTCGATGGGTCGTGACGTGTTGCGTCTCGGCGACACCGTCTCATACACACAGCAGAGGGTCAACAAGGACACTCGAGCCACCACGGCAGCAATGCGCGTGCTGTCCGTGATCGACAAGCAGCGGCCAGAAGCAGCCGCCCCCTCACCCCTGACGGAGCTGTTCTTCCTGGCTCTAAGGGCGCTGCAGGCGGGGTACCTTACTGCTTGGTCTGACCAGGCCGCGACGGTTCGTGTGCTCCATGTGGAGCAGCAAGTAGCTCCCAACGGCGGAGGCCTATCAGGGTGAGCCAGCACGCGGACACAAGACACACACCAAAATGAGAAAATGGGTGTGTTTGTTCAGGAGTGCTATGCGTGTCTTCAACTTGCTGGGTGTGTATGCCCACGTGTTGGGAGCGCCGTATCTGCTGCAGAAAGCGTCCGTTGTGGTCAATCTCAGCATGGCACTCATCCTGCAGACGGCATACACCAACGTAAGCCACCCACCTGCACACACAGACACACACACGAGAGCTCGAGCCCACATGTTGTCTTCTATCCATCCATTCATCCATCCATCCATCAGGTGTCAGACCAGCTGCCCTTCCGGCGCGTCATATCCCCACCACCGTCCGCAGACAGCCCAGCCCCAGCCCCCACCCACCGCCCCCGTCTTGACGACACATCCACACCGCTGCCCCCTCCCTGCCCCCAAATGCCTATGCTCTACGACGCACTCGCAACACAGCTGACCGCATCCGAAGACATCCAGCAAGAAGAGATGGCGGTCATCGATGAGAGCCTGCAGTTGCTGATGGACGAGGACGTGCAGAAGCGTGGGCCGCTGGAGCTGCAGCTGCTGCCGGTGTGGATGGTTCACGACACCCTGGTGGCCATTCGGCTCATTTTGGCGGAGCCGGGACAGGGCCATGCGCAGAGCACCGCCACGGCACGGTTGGACCGGTGTCTGGCGCTGGATATGATAGCAGTGGTGGTCGGGTCGCCTGAGGTGTTTTCCAAAGGAGCCGTGCAGATGCAGGCACTGGTCAGCTCAGCAACACACACACACACACTAAGGAAGAGAGAGGATTCACCTCTGTGTAAAATGCGTTTCGCCTTAAATCAGCTCGCCCTCGATGCAACTTGGGGCGCCGAAGCATTCTCTTGGCGCCTGGTGCCCGTGCTGCTTCGCCTTTTCTCGATGACAGATGGGCTAGAGTGGGACGACAGCCCTCCCAGCCATGGCATGCTGCAGAGCATGGTCCGCGAGAAACTCTTTCGGGTAGGCACAGGCTACAGGCAACACCACCTCAGACCTCAGTCACCGACCTTTCATGGCCTGTGACTCTCGATCTCTCCATCAGGTGGTGCGCGAGATGCCCAAGTGTCGTGTGGGTCTGCGTGTTGCCGCGGAGGCCTACGGCGACGTCTTCCGCATCTTCCTGGCAACGGTGCTGCACGCCGCGTACTCCCAACTCTTCTGGGGCCTGTATGGTCTTGCCGAAGTGCGACGGTACCCAGTCAGCAACAAGCTGTCTCTGTATGGGTAGACGTTTGTCATTCTCTATGGCTTTCCTCTATGCGGCAGCATGGAGGAGGAGCACCCCGACATGGTCCAGGATGTCGCTGATCTGGTCGGCCAGCTCGACGAACAAGACGGAGACCGACTTAGCTTACTGCCGGTAAGCCAGCTACTTCTTGCTGCGGGCCAGCCTGGCCTGAAAGAGCGCTGTCTTTGGCTGATGCAGAATGGCGTCCTCCTCCTGGGCCATGTAGCTGAGGTGGTGTGCGGCGACCCCATGGCGACGGCCGTCATGCTGCGTGACTCGACGCCCATTGCTGGCATGGCCGGCCACCAGACCACACTGCTTGACCTGATGGTACGGCGAGAACAGAGGGAGGGCGAGGTAACACACACCACGCGCAATGAGCCCCTTGTGGTTCAGACGGGCTTGCTCAACCTTACTCTATCGCGGCTGGCGGGCCCACAATCGCTCCAGCTCAAGGTGAGACTGTCTGTGCAGTGCAAGCCACCGAACGAACAGACGCATCCATCTGAGATGCCCCCCCATTGTAGGTGTCGAACCCGCGTGTATACGGTTTCTTCAAGTGCGAGATGCTGCAGTGGGCCATCGACATGTGCGGCATGATCCACGACGCATGCACGGCCGGGGTGTGCCGGACCCAGGACGGCGGGGAGCGACCCACACTGGCGGCACACACACTGCTAGAGAAGGTGAGTGAGGGTCGGTGGCAGCCTGGAACTCACTGCCGAGCCCGAACGTGTGTGTCTGCCTGTGTGTGTGCGGTTTGAGCGTTGCAGATATCTTCGCAAGAGAATGCGGACTTCAGAATCGACTCGTACGAGAAAGCAGGTCAGCCGAAAGCTGCCTGCAACGGCAGCAATCACACTGCACACACTCATCTAGATAGATGGCCTCCGTGTGTGTGCGCGGTCTGATCCATCACATCAGTTCGTATTGTTTACCGCCAGAACATCTCGACGGCCGATCGGAGGGCCAAATTCAAAGCCATGGTGAGAGGAGAGGTGGACGCGTGCGTGTGAGGGAGTGTCGACAAGTTGTGCTTCGGTCTTTTTTCTTTCTGTATGTGTCTGTGTGCGCAGTTTGAGTGTCTGTCGCGCCACCTGGCGCATTCCCGTGTGCTGTTTGAGTTGGAGACGGAGCCTGATGCACCTGATGAGGTAGGTGACCACCACCCCACCCAATACACGCGTCTGCCGGCCTCCTGTGCGCAATTCCCTCTCTATGTCTATATGTGTCGATGTGTGTGTGCAGTTCTTGGATGCGTTGACGAGCCGCGTGATGGGAAACCCACGGCGCCTCCCTTCATCGAATATCGTAGACGAGTACGTCAGGGCATGCAGGCCCGTGTCCATCCATCCATCCATCCCATGCGTCAGGTCGAGCGTGCTGCGGCTGCTGGCGGAGAACAACCCAAGAGACCCCTTCAGCGGCCTGCCACTCACACCACAAGACATCGGCTCAGGTGACTGTCACGATCCCATCCACACGCTCAGTTGACCTGATCTGACGGCACGGCGTCTGTCTGTCTGTCTTTCTTTGGTTGTGTGTTTGTGCAGTCCCTGAGCTGGAAGACCGTCTGGCCGCCTGGCGAGCGGCAGGCTGCCCCCCACCGGCCACATCACCCGACACCAACCAGGAGTGGCAGCCATCCCCATCCCCATCCACAGACACCAACCACGATCAGCATCACAGCAGCAGCAGTAGCAGTGGTCAGTTCAACCTCATTCTCATGTGTGGTGAGCAGCGCCACCGCCTTAGTCTCGAGGATGGGGTGCAGACGACCCTGGAGGTGCTGGCGTCGCGTGTGCGGAGTGCAGTTGGGGTGTCGGGCGGTGGTGGGATGCGGCTGATACGACATGGGATGGAGCTGCCCGTAGGCCGGCAGCCGATGCAGCCTCTATCGACGTGGGGCGTCGCGAGCGGCGACACCATACAAGTGATGTTGGTTTAGCAGGGCTGTGCCAGTGGCTGAGGGAGGGAGGGGTGCTTAGGTGTAGGGGCGGGAGAGATCGGGCACACGTGTGTAGGGGGGCGGGTGCTATGTGAATAGACAATAGATAGCTTTGTTGGAGCTTGCACAAACAACAAACATGCTTGGCTGTGTTGGGCTGTGCAAGCTCACCAACAAAGCTGGACCTATCTGCAGCATTTATGCGCGTATTGCGTGTATCGGGCTCGTCAATCTGATCGATCACAAGAGTTTACTTCAGCCGTTGCATGCCACGCTGTACAGTGATTGTAGAAAGGCGTATCGAGAATGAGGCACAGTAGCTGCGGTGCCAGTGGCTGTGGCTGACCCACCAGAATGACGTTGAGCTACAGTGATGGTCGCATCACCGTTTCATTTGGAGGCGGTGGTGGTTCTGCCTTCGATGACCGCGCCACGCTCATCTCCCAGTATCCCAACCGCAAGGTGGATGAGTTTCGCCTGTCGTCCATCCGGATCGAGGAATGGGCTCATGGAATAGCACGGGTGTGCTACGCACACACCAACAGAGAGGACACGACACGCGTCGCATCTCTGTTGTGCGGTCCTTGCAGGTCTCTTCAACGTACGTTTCCCTCGTCGATGGCGAGCGCGTCACCCTCACGCACGGCTCAAGCTCACCGGACATGCAAGACACGAACCAGCACAACTTCGATTTCGAGGCAGGGGAGTGGATCAGATCCGTCAAGGTCCTGGCGGGGCCACACAAGCAGCTGCAGATCACCACCAACCGCAACCGCGCCATCACGTGTGGCCCGCTGCAGCCGGACCGGAGAGAGCGGTTCCACTCCAGGGAAGTCGACCCTGTCGTCCGTGAATGTCACGCGATTTTCGACGGGCTGCGTCGCCTGCGCCCTGGGGCGACGACACGAGACCTGATCAACGATGCCAGTGAGCGGACGTGACCAATGGCTAAGGAGTGGTTGTTGAGTGGATGTGTATGGTGAGTTTTGGATATGATTTGTCGGGACCGACCTTCCGTGCACGGGGCCTTCGGGGGCTCGGGTGGGCGGCAGCAGGTGACCGAGTGGGACTTCGAGGCGGCTGGGGGGACTGGTGGAGAGGGGGTGGTGCCGAGATACCTCACGGGCAGAAGCGGCGAATCCATCGAGTAAGCACCGAAGTGGTGGATGCATTGCACTGTTGCTCCGATGTGTGTGTGTGTGTGTGTGTGTGGTGATCAATCAGTTTTATCAGCTTCTACTGCGCCAAGCGGGTGGCTGGTAGGCCGAACGCGAGACGATGCGATGCGACAGACATCCTTCAACTGCCAATGTCGCGCGTGTGTGTGTGTCTGTGTGTGTGTGTGGGTTTCCCACACAAGATGTGCTGACGGAGGACTTCACACCGGCACACTTCGCAGCGTTGCCGCAGCCGGTCAGACGCCAGGTAACTCACACACGACACACGAGATACACTACACCCGACCGGATGATGTGCTTCGGGCCCCTGTGTGTTTCGTTTTGTGTGTCCATCCATCGATCGTCCAAGATCGTGGCGTTGTTCTCTGTGTGCCGCGGACCCAATGCCGCCCGGCACACGTTCCCCGAGTGCTCTTTGCGGGCCGTCACGACATTCGCCTTCCCAGCTGCCACGACAGTGACCGAGGAGGACCTCGAGGACGGCCAAGACGGAGAGGAGGGCGATGCGATGAGGCGATGACTGACTGACGAGTGATTGATTGGACTGATTGGCGGGGTGGCTGGCTGGCTGGGTGGACACACAGATCGCTATACAGAGAGATGTATGTGGGTGTGTCGAGGAATGCACGTAGCTCCGTCTGCACACTCATGGAGAGGAGAGGAGACAGACGCACTGGGTAGGTGTGTCGGTCGGTAGAGTAGACTGCGGCGGGCCTGGTGTGTTATGCTACGCTTTGGAGTCACTTGAGTGATGGGAGGATGGCCAGAGGGATGTCTAGATCATCAGACAGACAGACAGACAGACGGATTGAGAGACACGACAAGCCACCGGCCTGCATTCTGCTGAGTGTGTGTCCAGCCAACTACACAAGGGAGCAGACGTCACAAAGAGGGAAGGGGGAGGGAGGGAGGGGCTTTGCATGCCTTGCTACAGTTCCAGCACGGATCGATCCATGCATTGATTGATGCCGTGTGTGTGTGTGTGTATGTTGTTGGCCTTTCGCCGTCTGGAAGGCATGTGTGTGTGTTTTGACGGCATGTGTGGTGTGTACGGTAGGAATGAACCGACTTGCTGGCCTTTTTCGAGGACAGATCCATTCCATCAAGGAATGAATCACGAGCACGAGCGAGAGGGCGTCCACACACACACGCACACACACACGTGTGAAGGTCCTGTCTTGTAGGCAGGCATGCACCATCAACCAATCCGACACACACGCATTCACGAGATGAGGCAGACAGCAAGAGACAGCCACGTTAGCCACAGGATCATGAATTCGCTCCACCACCACCAGCAGCCAGCATGAGCACCAGACACTCTACACGCGTCCATCCATCCATCCATTTATCCATCCATTGTGCAAACAGGACAGGGTGGGTGGGAGTGATGGAGGGAGGGGAGGGGGAGGAGAGAGCATCTGCACGCAGCAAAGCGTCAAAACCTGTCTATCTGCCAAGCGCTCCCCTACCTGACCCCCACCCCCTCTGCCTCGGCCACGCTCACTGAGACATAGTATGTAGAAGAGAGACCTATACAGACACCGCACACAGACAGACACCGCACACAGAGAGAAGGAGAGACAGAGAGAGAAATGCCGGCCTCGTGCACGCCACGCAGCGATTGGAGAGACAGCCAGGCAGGCGTTGAGGCAGACAGAAACAACACACACACAGACACCACCGCCAATTGCAATGAAATGAATGCGATGAACCACAGGGACACACGACGCCATGTGTGCTGTGCAGGTGTCACGCACTCGCCCACAGCTGTCTGTCTGTCTGTGTGCGGCCCGGCCCGGCCCGGCCCGTCTGCGTGCGTCCTCATGTGATGTGCGCGTGTGTCTGTACAGCAGCCGGTAGCGCACGCCACGCGATGACAGACACCGACCGCATCAATTCGATCGAAGCGGGGCAACACACCAACACACAGCAAGCAAAGCAAAGCACTTGTTGAAACAACCTCAGAGCGATTGCTCGCCGAGACGGCCAGTCGGGTGTGGTAACCAGCAGGTAAGGTAAGAGGACCGACCGACCGACCCACAGGCAGAGCAGACACCACACACGCACAGGTTCTGTGCATGCCTTGCCTTGCCTTGCCGACGTGGGGGACGGACGACTGGAAGGAAGACCTGCTGGTTACTCCCGTGCTGCTGTTTCGGTCTCTCTCTCTCCCTCTCCCCCTCTGTGCTGTGTCCATGCAAGTTGTGGTGCTGGTGGGTGCGACAGCGGGGAAAAATGAACACGAGTCATGTCATGGAGGGACGGGTCAGTGTGTGGGTGGACGACAGGTGCCTCTATCCTCTCTACGTTCAATGTGTGGCGGTCGGTTGCTGGCGACTGACTGACTGCGCTACCTTGGTCACTCAATCGGCCGTCTCGACCTGGCCAGCGGTAAGTTGCTTGACAAAAATGGAGGGGGGAAGAGAGGCAATGCCAAGTCAGTCGGCACACACGGACGGCACGGTACCATGCCATGGATGGGGGGGATGGATGGGTGGATGCACATACACAAGAAAGTGTCCGTCACGTCACGCCCAATGCTGTAAAACAATCGTCAGCCAGACAACCAGGCAGGCAGACAGGCAGGCACAGATAAAGGCCATACCACAACACACACACAACACGCGCACACACACACACACAATGCGATCAAGATATGAAGGTGGATTTACGCAACTCCTACCATCCATCCATCCAGCGGTCGGTCCCCTGCCCCCCCGGCAGCAAGCAAGTCAGTGCCCTTCACGCATGCGAGCAAATTCTAGCGATCCAACAGACAGACAGCCATCCATCCATCCATACCAACATCGGCAGGTAGGCAGCGGCAGCACGTAAGCGACGCGCCCGTTAGGCGGTTACCCAGGCAGGCAGGCAGGCAGGCAAACAGACGGACATACGAGAGCTATGAGTGTTGATCGGCGGTCGGTCGGTCGATGGACCGGTGTGGGCTGGGCAAGATATATGCGGGAGTGTGTGGTGGTTGGGCCGTTGTTGTCACATGACGGCGCAGCACGCCTTGCAGCCGCCCGAGCCGTTGGTGCGCGGCCTGTACGTCTCCAAAAACTTCAACTGACGCGCATTGATTGCACCTAAGGGATACCGGCCACACACGACACGCGAGACACAATACAATACACCACAGCACCCCCTCGTGTGTTGCGTGCTGTGTGTTGTGTGATGGCGTGTGTGCGTGCGGACCCTTCCTCCTCTCGCGAATGAACATGATGGCATCCAGTGCGTCCATGCCCTTCTCAATCAGCGCCACCGCAACCAACACGGGAGCCCTGCAACACACAACACAGATGCACACACACGAGGGTGTTCATCGAGTCAGGTCAGGTTACGTGCTGCACGGCTGGCGACTGACCTGCCCAGCCCGGCCACACAGTGAACGGCAACGGCGCTCTTCTCGTTGCCGCGCTTCTGGGTGTCATTCACCAAGGACTGCACACATACAGTCGTCAGCTATGGGCGCACGGATCTTTGAAGGCATCTGCCAATGTGTGTGTGTGTGTGTGTGTGACTGACCATCCATTCCTTGATGACGTGGTCGGGAGGCGGCTCACCGTCAGGAAACAGCAACTCCTGACAGACAAGACAACCAACCAGTGCGCCCGTTGACTTGGGTTGGAATGTTTGTGCCTGTGTCCTCTCTTGGTCTTGTGTGGTGTGTAGTGTAATGCATTGGGTTCACACATGTGTCCTTATGCCAGATTGCTCGAGTATCTCGTCCGAGTATGTGGCCTCACACGTCCGGACCAGATCAGTCACACCAAACTGACGCATCTCCTGTTAACACACACACATAGCACAGAGAAGGGGGTGGGTGGGGGGGGGGGG